TGGGTGACTTCAATGACAGACATGTATTTTTTTACTGTTCTTGGGCTTGGAAGTCTGAGATAAGGGTACCAGCAAGCTCGTGTTCTGGTGAGAACTCTTCCTGGTTGTCTTTGCCAGGGAGGGTGTATGAAGAAACAGAGATAACTCTTCAACTTCTTATGAGTCCATAATCCTATCTGATCAGGGTTCTGCCATCATGACCTCGTTTTAAGCTAAATTACTTCCCGAACACCGGATCTCTGGCCATGGTCACATTGGGGGTTAGGGCCTCAACATAGGATTTTGGGGGAGACACCATTCTGTCCTTATCTGTAAAGAAGTGGCACATAAACAAATGTTTGGCATTTATCTTTTATCATTTCCTTTCTTCCCAACTTTACTCTCTTGCTCTTTTTTTCTAGCTTCTTGAGTTGAACGTGTAGCTCATCTGTTTTTAATTTTTCTCTTTTTTTTGGAGAAGTATATTGAAGATATAATCATTCATGTAAGTATTGCTTAATTCCATCTGCCAGATTTTGCTGTTTCAGCTCTAAGTATTTCCTGATTTCCCATGTCAGATCCTTTCCAATGCAAGGTTCCGTAAGGTCATGGCATTATTATTTTTTAATCTTTTGCTCTTTTTATAAGTATATAATGTTCCTCTTTGTTACCTCATTGGTTTTGTCTGGAGCTTTACCTCCAGATTGCTACTGATACATTTTTTATCGAGAAGTAAAAGCCAAAATGGAGAAATCTATTTGCTAGATATGAGACAAGAGCTCTGTCTCTACTGTCCTGGCTCCATTCATTCACTCTGTGAAAGGGAGTTCTAATATTGGCTTACTGAAGTCATTCTGCTCAACGGCAGAGGAAATGAATGGTATATACACTTTCATCAGTCAGATCAGCTAGCTTGTGCTGTGTTCACAACCAAGCCCCAAGTGTCCAGAGCTGAGAACAACTGAGTTTATTTCTTGATCAGACTACATGTCATCAGGTGCAGGAATGACCCCAACCTCGCTCAGTGTGGAGGATCGAGTCGATGGTAGATGAGAGAGGCTCCATTCAGGTTCTTGAACAACGGACAGAGAAAAACACACTGACTGCCCCTGGTGACAGAGTCTCCCACCGTCTGCCAAAGCTTCTGCCTAGAATATACCACTTCATTTCTGCTCAAGCTTCATTAGCCAAAGTGCCACAGAGTCAGACCTAACTTTAAGGGGTCAAGAAAACGATTCTTTCTGTGGGCCACAGGAGACCTGACAATACTCTAAAGCTAGTTTTTGCTTCTTGTTGGTTTGTTGATTTTTGTCTTGTGAGTTAGCATATATCCTTCTAGTAAGTTTTTTTTTTAGAGATTTAATATATTTATTTGAGAGTACATGTGCACAGGAATGGGGGGAGGGGCAGTGGGAGAGGAAGAACCAGATTCCCCACTGAGCGGGGAGCTCCTTGACAATGTGGGGCTCCCCCCCAGGACCCCTAAGATCATGACCTGAGCCCAAGGCAGATGCTTAACCAAATGAGCCACCTAGGCACCCTTAGCAAATTTCTTTAATAAAAAAAAAAAGCCAAGCTGAAGTTAGCCAGAGTTAGTTTCTATTGCTTAAAAAAGAAAAAAGCTACAGAAGGCATTGGACTTGGCATTATTTATGCAACAGAGCAGATTAGGAAAGTTAACTTCAGTTTACACGTTGGGCTGATTTGAAGAAAGGGCACACACATATTTTTCAAGGATGAGGTTTCAAGAAAAGGCATGGCAGGATCCAATGTTTAGATCCAAATAATGATCCAGAGCCACCACAAGCCAGGCAGTGAGCCAGGTATTTTTTGCATATGCGATCTAAGTCAATTTAATTCTTTATGAAAACTATTTGAGGGGAGTCTTATTATCCAGGATTTGTATCTGTAGACCCTGAGGCTCAGAGAGGTGGAATGACCTGCCCCAAAGCCACGTAGCCAGCAAAAGAAAGCCTCGCTCCTACTCTATTGTCTGAGCATACAGAAGTGAAGCAGAACCATGCAGGCTGTATGCTTGGAGAGCAGATACAGTTTGATCCAGTGGAAATGTGAGTTCCATGAAAGGTGGGAGGGGACCTTGAGTACAAAGGTAAAGAGGTTGGAGTTTATTGGTTAGGCAGTGAGAGGGAGGTTTTGAGCCATAGAGGGCATTAGCAGACCTGTGAGTGATTGACTGATTGATCTGCTATTGGTGTCTGGGATGTTTGGAAATGACGCACCCCGCAGACCTGGAGACCAGCTGTAGACCAGCTGGAGACCAGGAATGCTGTAAAAACTCTGAGAAGCCTGAATGAGCATGGGTGTTGGCAGTAGAAACAGGGAAAAAAAAATTCTATCCAATCTTCAGACCCATTGGGAACTGCTGAATGAAGTCTGAGTTCTCCCTATGTAGGTGGCTCCTACTTTTCATTATAGGATTCTCAAAAACTTGCTCCCAGAAAAAGACTGGATCAGGAGTAAGGAAAAAAATAGGCAACTGCCTAAGTAAGAAGTCTACAAAACTCCTTCCCCCCCAAATCACCTCTTCCCCGTCAGCTATGGGGCCTGACATTTCATCGATGGCTTTTATTCTATCAAGAGTCTCTTACTCACGTGTGACTATTTGGGGACAAGAGGCAGAAGGGATGCTGGCAAGTTTCCTCATTGGCAGTGCCCAGACAAGTAAGAGAAAGGTGTGGGGACAATCTGCTATCTCAACAGAAACCTCATACCCAGATTTTATGGGGGCGGACATGGGGGGGGCGGTAAGGGGATGGAGTGGGGGAAGGGGGAAGCCCTCAACTTAAAAATATTGCAACTGGTTTAAATTTCTTAATATCACTGTGCTGGCCACACCCAGCTCTCAGTTTATCATCTCTGGGTTCAATTTTAAAGCCATTGGATCAAAACCTTTCCAAACTGGAAAAGCACATGTGTAGTAAAGGCTAGATACAGAGCAGGTTCACGTGAATCATTGAGAGGGTGTGTGGAGAAATTTGGGCTTCAGGCATGGAATGCCTGGGTCAGATGCTGGGTATCCTGGTACCTGGGCACTGGAAGGAAGATGGGCTGTGGGGGTGGCCAGATTTGCCACAACGGGCTCTTCTGGCTGACCACCCAGAACTGGGCTCAGAGTAGAAAGAGGGATGCGCCAAGCTTGTGTTTCTCTCTGCTCCGGTTGGCCTCATCCCATTAACATTACAGTAATGCAGTTGTGTGGTGTTTGAAAAAGCATCCCTAGTTACAAGGAATGATTTACAGGACACCAGACTCTGCATTTCAGAGGTCTCCAGTGTACCATAAAAAATATATTATAAAGGAATAATCTTTATCTGAACTAAAGCTGCAGTGAAGGAAAGTCATGTCCAGCTGAGAGCAGCAGTGAGCTTTTGTTCACTCAGGGAAAAGTCCGTGTTCTTCATCTTATTTGATTAACATTTTTTCTCCCCCCTCTTTGGCACTAGGTATGTCGTTAATATTTAGACATTATATACATTTTCTTTCAACTGTTGTTCCTATTATGTGATCAAACAAAACCCGAGATGCCAACCCCATCAGCCCGCCTGGAGAAAGCCCACCCACCAGGCACCCAGCTGTGGCTTGCAGGGTAAACAGGACTCAGCGGAGCCAGCGCCTGGGAGAGCCTGGCCCGGAGGGGTTCGCAGGGCCAGCCCCAGTCGCCCGGAAGCAGAGTTCGCTAGAGTGCCTCAGTTGCTCGCTCTGCCTCTTCCACTCCCGCTACCTCCCTGAGCAAAACGCCACGGGAAGCAGTGTCTAGTTTTGAATTTTCCAGAGCCTTCTGATGTTTACCATTCCCCTCAGGAGAGGGAGGTGAGGGATGGAAATCTCTCTGCTTAGAAAATATACTTTAAAAAAATTCAATGAAGCGATGCACAGACACCCTGCAACCCGACTTGTCTCTGCTTATTAGGTGTTCAGAGCGAAGATGGGCTCAGTCTATTTCAGTCCAGAGAAATCTGAACTCCTTTAGTGCCAATGCCCCCAAGGGGCGCAGGTGTCCCTGTGGTTAAGGGTGTCGGGTAGGGGACAGCCTCCTCTGTAGGAGCAGGAAGCAGTCACCCAGTGGCCGGACAGAGGCAAAAGCTCTGGGGCGGGGATACCTGGGGGCTTGTGTCAAAACTCCACCCGCCAGGAGCTCCAAGATAAGATGGGGAGGCTGGAAAGATGGAAGTTTGGGTGGGAAAACAGTTACAGAGAAGACATCATTCCCGGGCCCCCGGCAGAAGGATATTCGGGGTGAGAGAAGGGCGGGTCAGGGATGGGCCGAGTTGGCCGGGAGTCCCGGGGGAAAAGGGGAAGCGACAGCTCGCTGTCCTCAGGCCCCCAGCTACCCGGTTCGCGGCACCGGCGGCTGGCGTCGGTCTCCGTGTCCCTAAAAGTATCGGGAGAGGGCTGGAGAGCGCAGCGTCTCAGGCTCCCCGGGGAGGGGAAGCACACGGGGCTGGGCGGGGCCCGCCTCCAGTGCGTGTTTGTCGAGTCGGGTGGGGGGGCGCGATCTCCGCTCTCCCCGGCGCCCCAGCCCCAGGGCACGCCTCCGTTTCCGCGCCCCCCCTCCGCGGCGCGCGCGAGGCGCACTCCCCCTCCCTCGGCGGCGCGGGGCGCGCGCCCGGCCCCCTCCTCCTCCCCTCCGCGCCTCTCGGCTCTCCCGGCAGAAAGTTAGCAGCGGGGAAGGAACTCGGGGCTGCAACAGCGCGCGGCGGCGGCGGCAGAGGCTGAAGCAGGAGCCGCGGCGGAGCCGGGGAAGCGGGGGCGCTGCAGACGGAGCAGGTGCAGCCGGCGGGTCCGCGCGCCCCCCTCGGTCCCCTTGCCAGAGGCTGAGGGGGGGTGGTGGGGGGCCGCCCGGACTCCACGGGAAGAGTGGGGAGGGGGGCCATGCGGCCGGGCTCCCCCCCGGCGCAGCGGGACAGCGGCCAGGGCCGGGGGCGCAGCGGCGTCGCTTCATGCAGCCGGGGCGGCTGGGCAGCGGCGGCGGCGGCGGCGGCGGCGGCGGGGGCGGCGGCTGAAACCATGTCCGGGCAGCGCCGGGGGCCGCCGCCGCCGCCGCCGCGAGCCGGGAGCCGCGATGGCCCCGTGGCCCGCACCTCCTCCGCCTCCGCCTCCGCCTCCACCTCTCGCCACGCCGCCGCCGCCCGGCGCCTCTGCTAAGGGGCCGCCGGCGCGCAAGCTGCTTTTTATGTGCACCTTGTCCCTGTCCGTCACCTACCTGTGCTACAGTCTCCTGGGCGGCTCGGGCTCCCTGCAGTTCCCCCTGGCGCTGCAGGAGCCGCCGGGCGCCGCCGCCGAGCCCCCGCCGAGCCCGCCGCCACCCTCTCTGCCGCCTCCCCCCGTGCGCCTCGGCGCCCCCTCGCAGCCGCCCGCGCCTCCGCCGCCGGACAACGCGAGCCGCGGGGAGCCGCCCGAGCCCCCCGAGCAGCCCGCCGCCCCCGGGGCCGACGGCTGGGGGCTGGCGAGTGGCGGAGGGGGCGCCCGGGACGCCTGGCTCCGGACCCCGCTGGCCCCGGGCGAGATGATCACGGCGCAGAGCGCGCTGCTGGAGAGGGAAGCGCAGGAGTCCAGCACCACCGACGAGGAGCTCGCAGGCCGGAGAGCGGCCAACGGGAGCAGCGAGAGGGGCGGCGCCGCCAGCACCCCGGACTATGGGGAGAAGAAGCTGCCACAGGCGCTTATCATCGGGGTCAAGAAAGGAGGGACCCGCGCGCTGCTGGAGGCCATCCGAGTCCACCCGGACGTGCGGGCGGTGGGCGTAGAGCCGCACTTCTTCGATAGGAACTACGAAAAGGGGCTGGAGTGGTACAGGTAGGACCCTGGGCTCGGCGGGATGGGATGGACGCACGGGGAGACCCGGAGGGCGAGCCATCGCTTTCCGGGCTCTTGGACACCCAGGCGCCGCCGTCCCGAGAGCCCTTATTCCCATCGGGGGCTCTGCCAATCCTGGCGGGGCCGCTCAGGGGCAGCGGCGGAGAGAGCTGGACGCTGGCCAAGGATCACTTTATTTCAGGGCGAGGGGTGGAGGTGTCGCCTTGCTTCTGCCTGCCTCAGGCTCCTTGTCCGTGGAGGTGCCTTCTCAGTCTGCCCAGCTCCTAGCCTGGGAATCCCCAGCCTTGGTGCCCGCGGGGTGTTTCCTAGCCCGGGCTTGGCGGGGCTCTGCGCTTCCGCGCTGGGGACGCCGAGGAATGAAGCAGGGTAGCTAGATGGATGTAGCGGCTTTGAGATCTCCTGGAATCTCTCAAAATCGCCCCGAGACACATTTGCGTGGCTGGAATCCAACTTTAGTATTTTCAGGTTAGAGCAAAAATGAACAGGCAACAGTTAAAAAGATGATGCTGGCAAGTTCTGGCTTTCTAGTAAAGATCGAGGATGCCCCCCTATCTCCAGAACTTTCTATCCCCATTGGCAGAATGAACCCTGCGTTGGTTCTGCCTCGGCAGCATCAGTGTGTACACGACAGTTGGTGCCCTAAGAGTTTTTGTGCACTGCACCCGTGTCCTTTCTAACCCGCACCTCCTTCACAACAGATTGGAGCTTCTGTCATGTGAAATGTTCACCTCTCTCCTTTTCCACCCTCTGCCAGTGGTGAGATAAAGGGAGAAGAGACAGTAGAAAGTTAGGTGCAGGTAAAATAAATTAATAATCCAGCTTTCTTGCCGGCCATAGCATTTAACTCCACACTGGTGCAGATTCCAAAAACGAACCTCCTTTGCTTTTTTTTTTTTTTTTTCCCCCGTTTTGTATCTCTCTGGAAAATAGATCTGGATGCCTGGCCCCATCTTGGTTGCATCTCAGTAATTAATTGCAATTGTCAAACAGAAACACAGGCTTTGTCAGCTAAAGTGATGTTATCATCTTAACAGAGCCAATAGGTAAAATACAAGGATTGTTTCCTGACAAGTTCCCTTCCTGTTGAAGAGATGTGCTTTCCAAGTTTAAATTACAGCCTGGGAAAAGTTTTAGAAACAGCTTAACTTAAGAAATAGATAATAAATGGGTGTATTGTGATTGATTTCTTCCACTTTAAAAAATATGCCTTATGCTTTCAAAGCTTGAGAGAAGTACACTTAGGCATAAACATTCCACCACATTAAACTGAAACAGCAAATGTGTCTGTTAATGTCTTGTCTGTTTCAACAGCGAGAACTAATTGCAATATTTTAGGAGGCTTCAAACAGCCCCTTCCTATCAAAACATAAAACAGCAAATGCCTAATTTAACTGGAAAAATCAGTATTTATAACATCACGAACCATGGTTTCCAGTTTGTGATTATAATTAAAAAGGTGTTAGGATGATTAATGCAACAACAGAAATAAAGAGAAGGGGTATGATGTCTGCGAGGGTTTCAGTTACAATTGTTGGTTAGGGGGGATGTCCTGCTTTCCGCAGTGAGGTAGCCTCAGCCCTAGGAGGGTAACAGTGGCTTTTTCCATTTCTAATTTTAAAGCTGTGTATCTCGGGAGAAATGCCAAGTGCCCTTTTGGGGGAGAGAGAGGCATAAAGATCACATCTTTCCAACATGTGTTCCGGTTGCTTTGTAGCAGCTGGAAATCGAGAAGGGAGTGTTTTCTTCGGATGCCTTAAAGTTTGATAAAGGGTGCGTGGTGGCATGCGTGTCAGGAGGTCCCATTGGTGGGACTGGAGAATTTTCTGAATGAGAGCATGGGAGATGTCAGATTTTCTTAATCTTCTTTCATGCTGAGGCTGGGAAGAGGAGGCACGGAGACAGGTATGACAGGGCTGTGGAAGGTTCTATCCCAGCACTGTGTATTCCCGGCCGACCCTCGTGTGGTCTTTGGGGCTGAGTGTGAGTGTTGTGTCCCCATCCACAGAACTGTTATCCTGAAGACATGTGGGGAGATTTCTCTTGATCCTCGCTTGAGAGGACCACGGGGTTTCTCTGCGGCCCCCCATCCTTGACCCCAGTGTCTCACCCACGGCAGATCCTTGTGGTGCTTATCTTAGAGGTGCCGACCGCAGGTGCTGGAGAAGAATCTGTGTAGCACGGAGGTGTCAGTAGTCACCCAAACCTGGCTGCTGAGAAGATTTCTAGAAACCCCTTCGGCCCACAGGAGTGTGCTGGGGCTGCTTGCATACCTCTCCAGCCTTACCAGGGACAGCAGTGCTTTGAGGGTCTTTGTGGGATTTACACAGGCTCCTGTCTCCCCTGGAGGAAGAGAGGGGATGACATCCTCATTATATTGCAGAAAAGGAAACCGTGGCATCAGTTCAAACCAGTAAGGGAAAGCCTACCTCTTGTTTCCCCGCTCCAAGTGCATCTTATAAATGGCGGCATCTGGGCTTGAGTGTACATGAATGGTCACGCTTCCCTCCATCCATGGAGGAGCCTATGTGAAATCTTCCTTTCCTCGCCAGAGGAGAGGACCACAGATGAATGAAAGGTTTTGATTCTCTCCCCGACTTGTTTGCTTTCCCTTTTTCTTGTCGAGGTGCTTCTGTGAGAACCGGCTAATTCTGCAAGTGTTCCTGGGGTTTGGTGTTTTCAGCCAGAGGGAGAAGCGAGAATTTGGGGTCAGCTCTGGGCAGCACTGGTTTGGGCTTTCGTCCTATCCCAGCAGAACGGCCCTGGGAGTTTTATTTCCTCCATGTCACTCCAGTCTTGTTTAAATCCGGGTTTTGCTTTCTCCTACGCTGTTGATCTGATGTGATTTAAAAACACATTTGAGATTAGAACGTGTGCCTCGGATTTCATGGCAAGATAGACTAATGGATTAGGAGGGGAGTGTTAAAGCTGTGGGAGAAGCAAGCCTCCCTTGGTGGATTGACCCAGGCCCATGACTCATAAGTGGGGGTGGACTTGACCCTCCTCTCTCCACTCCTCCAAACCAGTGAAATAAAAGGTCAAAACCCCAAGGCACCTTTCAGAACGGGCCACTCCAAGCTGTCCGGGCAGAGACCTTAGACTCCTCGAAGGGGTGGGACCTGGGGGCTGCAGCAGAACTCATCCAAGACACAGGGCTGCCTTGCGGTGTGACCTCCCCAGCGGCTTACAGACTGTACAGTAACCCTGACCTTGGCTTTGGAAACACCTCAGCTCCAGGGCAATGGGAAGGGAACCTCCAGGGTTTCAGATGGTCTGCCCTGCCAACAGTGGATAATGCTTCTCCCATTGGCTAGGGGAAAATCACTCAGGAAAACGGTTCCCATAGTCATGCTCGTGGTACCCAGAGGAAGGTGGTCCGCAACGCTGTTTGCTCTTGGTTTCTGGAGCGAGAATGAGGGAAGAAGCCAGAAAAGCACTGGCAGTTAGGGAATGCCTGTTCTTTATGGAGCCAGGTGCTTTATGGACGTCCTCTCACGTTTGAGTATCATAATGAAGATTGTGAGTGAAATAGCAGCCTTCGTGTTTTCCATGTGGCCCTCGGAGTGCAAATGACTTGCTCAGGACTGTTCAGCTGGTCCGTGGTTGAGCTGACCACATCTGTCCAATTTCACCGTGCTGCTTGCTTGGTTTCTTCCCTCACATCCCACCACCACACATAAAATACTAGCAAGATGTTTTCTTTCCTTCCTTCTGAAATTTAACCAACGTTTTAATAATATTTACCATGTACCCGGCACTGTTGTAAGGAGGAGAGTTGCTGTAAGGGGACTGTGGTAAGGGGAGAACTGTTGTAAGGGGAGAGAGTGGTGACTTAGCACTTTGTGCTCCTGAAACTGACATTTAAGTGGTGGGCAGGGGAGACAGGGAACAGTCTTTCTTGTTACCTTTTTCCGGTGGCTACTAGAAAATGTACCATCAAGCTGGTGACTCACATTGTATTTCCACCGGGCAGGGCTCCTAGTAGAGCGGCGCTTTTTAAGCTTTAAACGTGCACGCGTCACCTGGGATGTTGTGAACATGCAGGATTCTGATTCAGCACGTCTGAGGAAGGCCCTGAGAGTCTCCATTTCTAACTTCTCAGGTGCTGCTGATGCTGCTGATCTCTGGACCTCGCTTTGACTAGCAGGGGTCTAGAGAGGAATTGGTGTGTGCATGCGTGTCTGTGTGCATGCCTAGGTTATTTGAAATCAAATGACTAGGGAACACTTCCCCATGAGGGTGATGTAAACGAAGTGAAAGAATAAAAAAGAATAAAATTCTGTGCTGCATAGAGATCAGGGTAGAGAGGTTTCCAATATTAGGAACGGTAGATGCAAAGGCCCTGAGGCAGGGGCAAGCCTCATGGCTTTATAAAGGGTTTTTTTCAATATTCCCAAAGCACAGTGTTTGTAGCTGGACAAAATTGGATTCAAAACCGGGTTTTACAACTTACTGGTTGGATAATTTTGGATAGGTAACTGATTTAACATCACTCATCTTCAGCTTGTTTATCTGTGGATTGTGGGGGAGAATAAATGACATAATAAAGGTGAATGTATTTTTCCAAAAAAAAAAAAAAGAAAGATCCAAATGAACCCAACTCCTGTTTTTTTTTTTTTTTTAATTTTCAAATCATTTTGGTCTGATCACAGCTGTCCTAATATTGACTGAAGAGTATCTCATCGGGCAGGATTTTGGGAAAAATCTAAGAATGATTGGCTCTACATCTGCCTGACTTTAAACCAAGGGTCACCAACCTGGAAACCCAGTGAAATAGACTGGGGTGGGGGGCGTAGAAACTGGGGGCATGCAGGTCTTAGCCACTACTCCGTTCCAGCTACCCCTTTCCTGGGTGCAAATGTTACCACATCCCGCACCTGGTAGGAGAAATCGGAGATCCAGGCTTTGATGCGAAATCTCTTGTTGGTTTTTCACATTGGCAAACTGATTAAAATTTCTGAAAAGCCTTGTGTGGGCCAGCA